AAAAAAAAAAAAAAAAAAAAAAAAAAAAAAAAACCAAAAAAAAAACCACAACAAAAACAACAAAAAAAACAACGATGATCTCATAAACGACCTGAAGATCGACTACAGCAACAGCAACGGCGGCTATGAGACGACCCTCAGCCTGGTGAACGATACGAACGAGGCAACAGCGACAGCGATGCGCGATGCTGAGCAAGCAGCAAGCTTAAAGGCAGCAACAGCAACGATAGCAACTAGAGAGACGCTGGCTGGCGAAGAAGCTGAGGGCCCAGCTGCAAGTTCAGGGCATCGACTGGCCATCCAGCCCAGATCTGCGCCAAAGCGGAGCCAGCGCCAGAGTCAGAGTCAGAGTCAGAGTCGGACTGAGACTGAGACTGATGCACTGTTGCCACAGAATCTAGTGATGCTGCAGACAGCAGCCGTAGCCGCCAGGACAACCACTGACGATAGTTGAGAGTGCGGCGATATGTGGATCGCCACCAGAGCAGCTGCAGCCAAGAAACAATGATCGAACGACAAAGATAATGCTAACCATGTGATAACTCGTATGTATGTGTGTGTATATAGGCCATATACTTTATAAACTAATGAACAGCAATGAAAGCAACGTGAGAACGTGAAACGTGAAACGTGAAACGACGACAAAATATTCGAAAACAGGGCAACTAACAGTACGGTGGCCTTAGCTTGTGCAACTGAATCAAACTTGTAAATCAAAAATCGAAAGACGATATCGATAACAATAATCAAAAATAAGCCATCAAACTCTCAACAACCTAATCAAACAGACTAAAAACCTAATCGTGTCATCAACAACAAACAGAAGCATATATCTATACAGCATATATCATCGACAGCAGCCAGCAGCAGCCACACAAAAGTCTTCAGCAAGCAGTGCAACAGCGATAGCAGTAACAGTAACTGTACGAGTAACAGTAACAGTAACAGTAACACTCACGTTAACAGTTACAGCATCACATTGACATTTAACTGTAACTGTCTGACTACGAAATACGAAACGCTCAGGCTACGACTGATCTGAATTGCGTGCGTGCGTCGTGCGTGTGTGTGCGTGCCACGCCCACCACCGGCCACCGCGTGCACTCAGAGGGTTGGTTGGTGCCCGCGGTGCCATCCCCCCAAACGCAAAGTGATAGAAAATGGTAATTACAAACAAAACAATTCTAGTCATTAACTATCCAAAAGAAAATACCAAAACCAGAACCAAGAACCAAGAACCAAAAACCAAAAGAAAAGAAACTCTAAAGAAAGTCCTCAAACTCTACTCTATACTACCCAGCTATCCAGAGCTCACTCTCTCTCTCTCTCTCTCTCTATCAGTTTCTGTCTCCCCTCCTTTACTATCCGTTAATCACACTCTCTTCAAATGCGTTTCCTTTCATAATTCAAATTGCATATATTGTAGTTCAGATAATTATTAGATGCAAATTCGTTTTCCAAATATTTTATCGTTTTTTTTTTTATGCTTTAGCTGTCGATTAGCCGCGCACCAGCGCCATCTAGCGGCTAATATTTGTGTTCGATTTACGCATTTGGTTCATTTTTAATTTCATTTGGCTTTGTCGCTTCTCTCTTTGTCTCTCTCTTTCTCTCATTTAGTTTCTTGCGTTTTGAGTCGGAAAACATGAGCGCGATCAACCCAAACAAAGAACTAAAAAAACTTGAAACAAAAACAGAAAGACCAGAAAATATAACGATTCCATTTTAGGGGATGCAAATTGATTGCAATTGAAGCGTAATCGATAATCGATATTTTATCAAAAGCAACGTTTTACGTGAGAATTCAACGGTAACTAATTGCTCGCCTGCCTTAATAATAAAAAAAAAACATATATATGCTGCTGTCTACAAAAAACATAAATAAATAAACCAAAACAAATTGAAAAAAAAAAAACACAACAGAACATAATAATAATAAATAACATAATGAAATTATATAAATAATTATGAAAAATATATGAAACTAATCAAATTTAATACAAACTAATTATAAGTAATGAGAGCAAGCCATACCAAATGTTTCTCTCTCCATATATATATCTATCTCTCTCTGTCTGCCTCTCTCTCTCTCTCTCTAAGTACCTATATTGATGTATATGTAACTCCATATACACACCCATACCCACACACACACACACACACACACAGTCACAAAGCCATGTAAAAGTATAGTAAAGTGTTGCGAATGCTTTGTCATGAATGATCATAATAACTGAACAATCCGATGATAAATTGAGAATATATACATATATATTATACGACCGATGGCCCCAAGCCGTCTCAGCGGAATTTCTTTTCATTTAATTTCTGTTACACATATAAATATCAAAATATATCTACTATAATTTTCCACATATATCAATAACGATGACTATTTATGCGTATCAACTAAGTGAAAAAGTACAGTTTACAATTTACCTTATAACAATATTGAACAAAAAAAAGAGAAACTAAACAAAATGCTGCGATAAGTAGTTCCTGCAAGTCCAAGCATCGATTCATCAACAGCATTTTAGCCCCTAAATAGCTCTATTGCCGCGTATATGTTGTTCTGTTTAAATAATTTGCAAAACAAAATACCAAAAA